GTCATCTGCAAATTTGAGAAGCATGCCCCCTATTCCTTCATCCAAATTCTTGATAAAAATGTTGAAGAGCACTGGGCCCAAGACAGATACCTATGGCACCCCTCTATAGTGATTTCACTCCTTTTCCATTACTTATACATCTCCCATTTAAAACTTAGTTCAGTTGAAAGTTCTTTTGTCATCCAACCCAGTTTCTTGGGACATCTCCCATTTTTCCTTCTCATTGGAACAGTTTGAGATTGTGCCTTCAGTATCTCCCTTTTGAGAAACTCCCATCCATCCTGAACTCCCTTCTCCTTTAGTATTCCTGACCACAGGATCACTCCCAGTGTTTCCCTAAGTTTATTGAAATCAGCTCTCCTAAAGTCTAGAATGAGTGTGTGACTATGCCTAGCTTCTCCTTTACACTGTATAAGAAACTCTAGAAGAACATGATCACTCCCACCTAAGGTTCCTACCATTTGCACCACATTGACAAGATCATCCCTGTTGGTTAGGATCAGATCTAAAATAGCTTATCTTCTTGTTGTCTCTTCCACCTTTTGGACAAAGAAATTGTCTTCAAAGCAAATGAGGAATTTACTATACCTTGGAGTATTGGCTGAGTTTGACTTCCAGCAAATATAAGGATAGTTGAAGCCACCCATCACTACTACATTTCTCCTTTCTGAGTGTGTGGTCATCTGTTCTAGAAAGACATCATCCAATTCCTCAGTCTGACTTGGGGGTCTGTAGTAAACTCCTACTATAGCATCCCTGTTGTTTCCTTCCCCTTTAATTTTTATCCAGATGCTCTCCACCTGATTTCCAGGATTTAAGTCCTGGATCTCTTCACAGGTGTAAACATCCCTGACATATAATGCTATTCCTCCTCCTTTCCTATTTGGCCTATTTCTATTAGAAAGGTTATACCCCTCTATTCCTACATTCCAATCATGACACTCATCCCACCAGTTTTCCATGATGCCTATTATATCATATTTGCTTTGTTGTGCTCAGAGTTCAAGTTCATCTTGTTTATTTCCCATACTCTGTGCATTAGTGTAGAGACATCTAAGAGCATTTGTCCTTCCCACTTGATGTCTGTGTGAGGTCTTTTTCCTTCCATTGTTGTGCCCTTGCATCATTTGCCTTCTTCCCTCTATAACACTTTTACTATTATCTCCAGCCCATGATGTACTCCTGCCTTCCAAGATACCTTCCAAGATACTGTCTCCCTCCCCAACATGACTCAGTTTAAAGCCCTCCTGATCAAATGTTTGAGAATATTGGCAAAAATGCTTCTGCCAACTGGTATGAGATGCAGCCCATCTCTTGCTAGATGTCCATCCTCATGGAACCACAGCACCATTTATGGAGCCAGTTATTCATGTCTGCTATCTTCCTCTCCCTCCCTGGACCATGCCCTTCAACTGTGAGAAGAGATAACTATCTGTGTGTCCAGCTCTTTCAGCTTCCTGCCCAAAGCCTCATAATCCCTTCTGATATTCTGAAGACTATGCCTTACAAAATCATTGGTTCCCACATGGATCAAGAGGAAGGGGTAATGGTCAGTAGGCTTGACAAGTCTTGTCAGTCTCGCTGTCACATCACGGATTTTTGCCCCAGGGAGACAACACACCTCCCGGGACATCTTGTCAGGGCCACAAATCACTGCTTCTGTACCCCTCAACAAGGAGTCCACAACCACCACCACCCACCTCCTCTGAGGCTTAACAGTGGCTGTTCCCTGCAGTGGTACTCTTCGGGTCTCCTGCACTGTCCCTGAGGACTGTCCCTGCTGCTCTTCCTCTTCATCCTTGATAAGGGAGAGAGCTTCAACGATTCTGTAGCTGCAAGCTCCCAGAATGATCCCTGTTTTCCCTACTTATATGTGTGACGTTCCTCCAGGTGTCCACCTCCTGTGTGCCTGAAATGACCTCCTCCTCAACATGTTCCTCTGTGTGGTCCCCGTCCAACACTGTTCTTTCTGCTCTGTCCAGGAAAACCTCTTGCTCCCTAATATGCTGAAGCGTAGCTACCCGGGCCTCCAGCTGCTTGACTTTCTCTTCCAGGAGGGCTACGAACTTGCGCTTGGTGCAGGTGAAGTTCTCCACATCTCTTGGCAAGTGACTGCAGCAACACAAGGAAGATGTTGATGAAGAGGGGCTTCTGTGTCCTTGGGACAATCTTTCATTATTAAGTTTTAATCTGGCATGAGATTTTAGGATTTGAGCAGATGGGCCAAGATAGCATGGGCTGAGCCCGTGTTATTCTGGGCCCATTGTTCACCTGGGTTAGTCCCTGGGTCAGCGTGGAGATGGGAGGGTGTTCACACACCTGTCCCTATACTGATCCAGGACCTGTGTGCTGCTCCTTAACTTTCTGGCAGTGGATCTAACTGAGAGGGCCCCCAGTTACCCCATCTAACATGGAAATGGGGCACTTGGCTGCACCCACGTGGCCAGGCGCCCAATTTCTGCATCATATGGGCAACTGGGGGTGGGCTTCTCTGTTGGATCCACTGCCAGAAAAGTAAGGAGTGTGGAGGTGAGCTGTTTGAACAGCCTGGTTTTGCAGCAGAGTTTTTAGAAACCCTGCAGAAAGCCCAGGCTATTTTACCCCAGTACAAAGGCTCTTGATTCTGGGACCCAGGTCTGTGTCTGCATAGGCAGGATCAGGCTTGATCCTACCCTGGGGTTTTTGGCCTGCATTATCTGCACTAGATGAAATGCGCCTGCAGGGAACTCAGGCCATTTGGTCCATGCAGAAAACCTCTAAGGTGACTTTTGAGCTGTTCAGACAGCCCACCCTCATGTTCTTTTTCGGCTGATGTGTTTCAAGTATTTTTTTTATGTTGTAATTTTATTACTTTTACTTATGTAATATTGTAAGGCATTGTCCTAAAAAGCTAGAAATAAATAAAATTAAAATTATAATAGAATACAGTTCAGTAGCATCACCAATTTAGGGCCTATACAGACTACCAGAAATAATCCAGCTTGAGGCCACTTTGACTGTCCTGGCTCAGTGCTAAGGAATCATGGGAACTGTAATTTATTGTGGCACCAGAGCTCTCTGACAGAGAAGGCTCAATGTTTCAGAAAAAAACTACAATTCCCATGATTCCCTAGCACAGAGCTAGAACAGTTAAAGTGGCCTCAACTGGATTATTTCTGGCAGTCTGTATAGGCCCTTAGTTACAAGTTTAATTATGTACTATACTGTCTCCTGATCCAACTCCTCTCCAAGCCTATCTTAACAGCGAGCAACCGCACCAAGCAATGGAGGTCTATTCTGCTGGCAAACAGGATGCAACAGGAAGATGTTTCCAGTCCCCTCCTATCAGTAATCCATGGTGGGATGAAGAGTTATAGCAATTCCTGCTTCTGACTGCTGCAGCCTCATTTACTAGTAAGAAGGATCTGGAAATGTTATCCTTTTGTGCCCTCAGTAGAACTGCCCCTCATTGCTCCGAGCAGCTCTCTGAAATTTAAGGTAATATTCAAAGGGTGTTTATGATCATGGCAGCAGTTTCATGATCATGAATATGTAATGTAACTGAATACAACACAATTACAAATCCATAACTCTAGGTTATGAATCTGTAACTGCAATACAGGATGCCTGCCCTTATTGGCAGAGATTTGTTTATGTTTAAACCTCCATAGTTACTTTTGGGGTTTGAGAGTTACCTATGTTAATTCTCCATTCATGGATTATATGTGCTTACTTTAATCGCCCTCTTCAGAAATGCAGAAAAAAGCGTGAAGCCATTCATCTTCAGGTTCCTCCCACTAACATTAGAATCTTTGTGCAAAGACTTTAGCAACATAGGTGGAATTTTCTATTATCAGCTTTGTAAAAGGGACAATTCATTCCTATTAAGTGGTGAAAGAAAAAAAGACTGAGATACGTCTATTAATTAGTTACAGACCACTGAAGTGTTTTAGAGTTCTATTCAATCAATCAATCAATCATTTTAGTTATATCCTGCCTTTTAACCAAGAGTAAAACTGAAAGCAACTCATTGAATAAAAACAGATACAAATAAAACTACGTATAGCTAAATTCATACAAAATTTTAAGATTAATATTAAACTATAGATTTAAAAATATAAAACATTAATTTAAAAGTATAGACTGAAAACAATATTGCACTAAAACAGAAATATATTGTACCAAACAATGTTGTTATTGTTTTTGTTGTGTACCTTTAAGTCATTTCCAGCGTATGCCAATCCTAAGGAAAGATTTGTTCAGAGGAGGTTTGCCATTGCCCTCCCCTGATGGCTGACCAGGAAATCAAACCCTGGTCTCCAGAGTCATAGTCCAACACTCAAACCACTGTGCTACACCTGACTCCCTTATATGAAACAATATAGTCCCAAAATGTTTGCTGTCCCTACTTCATGGTGAAAGATGGTAAAAAGGGAGCAAGCCTAGCCTCCCTAGGAGGGAAGTTTCAGGGGGCAGGATTAGCCACAGAAAAGGCCCTCTCCTCTGTTCCCACTAAATGTGTCTATGAAGGTGGCAGGATTCACAGGACCTCTTTCTTCAGGAGCTAGAATTTTAAAGAATTAAAAACCCTCTTTCTTGCTATCAAACATCAAATTTTCCCAGTCAGGAACAGCAAGCGGTCAAAAGGATTACCATTAAAATAGCAAAGAAGATCCACATGGTCAGTGCTGAATTTCTTAAAATCCTGTATCACTGGTTCCCAAACATTGATCCTCCAACTGTTTTGGACTTCAGCTCCCAGTATTCCTGGACATTAGCCATGGTAGCTGGAGCTTCTGAGAACTGAAATCCAAAATACCTGGTGAATCAATGTTTTGGGAATCTCTGTTCTACATCCTGAAGAAAAAAGGTCAACCCTAAAATGGGTTTTCCATGGCAAGATTTGTCCAGAGGGGGTTGATCAGGATGAGAGATTGTGGGCCTTTGCAGACTGCCAGAAATAGTGCACATTAAATTGAGGCACTGCCCTGCCTCAGTGCTAGGGATTCATGGGAACTGTAATTTATTGTGGCACCAGAGCTCTCTGACAGAGAAGGCTCAATGTCTCAGAAAAAAAATACAATTCCCATGACTCCCTAGCACTGAGCCAGGGCAGTGCCTCAATTTAATGTGCACTATTTCTGGCAGTCTGCAAAGGCCCTGTAACTTTCCTAAGACCACCCAGTAGGTTTCCATGGCTAAGCACAGATTTCAAACCCAGGTCTGAAAAACTCATGGGAGATAATCACACCACCGATTCTCTGCCAGGATAGATATGAGTTGTAACCATAACAGACAGATCTTATCAGACAGCCCCATACAGGGCAGTAGGGAACCTATATCCAATCCGGCCTTCTCCCACAGCTTTTCAAGAATAAGAAAATCCCATTCTTGAAAAGCTGTAGGAGACACCCAGATTAGATAAAGGCTGCCTACTTCCCAGTATGGGGCTGTCTGTTAAGATCTGTCTGTTATGATACAACCCTCGTCTATCCTGATGGGAATTGGTGGTGCAATGATCTCCCTAGTTTCAGACCACTACACTGTGCTGGCACTGTACTAAAAGAATAGAAGATGCCTACCTATATTTTCTTTACAATTTTTACAGAATGAGCTTATTTATTTATTTATTTATTTATTTATTTTTGTTTCATTGATTTCTATCCCACTTTTCTCCCTGAAAGGCACCCAAGGCAACTCACAAATAAAAATTCTAAAAACATATTACAATAAAACATTTAAAATATTATCTAAAAACAATATAAAATTACAGACATTAAAACCACACTAATCCATGATACCCACCCTATATAACAAACACCCAAGCCACCCCATGATTATACATCAAAAACCTGCCTGAATAAAACCATTTTTGCTTGCCAATGGAAGGGCATTCCAGAAGGCTGGAGCAGCCACTGAGAAGGCCTCTCTCTCATGTCCTCACCAGGTGAGGCTGTGATTATGGCAGTACTAAGAGAAAGCCTTCCCTGGAAGATCTTAGGGCTTTAGCAGGTTCATATGGAGAGATATGGTCTCTCAAATAATTTGGACCTAAACTGTGTAGGGCTTTATAGCTCATAATCAGCACTTTGAATTGTGCCCAGAAATGAACCAGTAGCCAATGAAGCTTTTTCAGCAAGGGAGTTATATGGTCCCTATAACTGGCCCCAGTCAGCATTCTGGCTGCAGTATTTTGCACACACTGAAGTTTCCAAACAGTTTCTAAAGGCAGCCCCACATAGAGTGTGTTACAGTAGTCTAAATGGGATGTAATCAAGGCATGTGTCACTATAGCCAGATCTGACATTTCAAGGAATGGACACAGCTAGTGCACAAGTTTTAATTGTGCAAATCCACTCCTGGCCACTGCTAAAACCTGGGTATCCAGGCTCAGAGTTGAGTCCAGGAGCACATCTAAGCTGTGAGCCTGAGATTTCAGGGGGAGTGTAACCCCATCCAGGACAGGCAATGTCCCTATTCCCTGATCTGCCTTCCAACTGACCAGGAGCACCTCTGTCTTGTCTGGATTAAGCTTCAATTTGTTTGCCCTCATCTAGTTCATTACTGACCGCAGACACTGGTTCAATACAGAAACAGCTTCCTTGGAATCAGATGGAAAGGAGAGATAGAGTTGAGTATCATCTGCATACTGGTGACACCTCACCCCAAAATTCCAGATGACCTCTCCCAGAGGATTCATGTAGATATTAAATAACATGGGGGATAAAATGAAACCCTGTGTGAGTCTACAGGCCAGCAACCATGGAGTCAAACAGGAGTCCCCCAACACTACCTTCTGAGTTTACCCCTCCAAGAAAGACCAGAACCACTGCATAACAGTGCCCTTAAGTCTCATTCTAGAGAGGCAGCTCAGAAGGATATCATGGTTGATGGTATCAAAAGCCACTGAGAGATCCAGCAGAACCAACAGGAACACATCCCAGTTCCCTAAGAAGGTCATCCACAAGGTGACCAAAGCTGTCTCTGTCCCATAGCCAGGTCTGAAGCCAGTTTGAAATGGATCTAGATAATCCATTTCATCCAGAAACCCCTGGAGCTGTGGCCACCACACACTCCAGAACCTTGCCCAAGAATGGAATATTAGAGCTGGCAGGAGGTTTTATGGGGGCAAAGGGTTGTTACATCTTTAATTATATTGTTATGCTTTTAAATGATTTTACACTTTAAACAATTAATGGTGTTGTAATATAACTAGTTTAATTGCATTTCCACTTTTTAATTATTAATTTTTAGCTTATCTTCAGCCTTTTGTAAGCTGGCTTTGATCTCATACCAGGAGAAAGGTGGCACAGAAATGAAAATGAAATGAAATAGAAGTATATCTGGACTAACCTCCCCATACATTCCACCTTCTATTTATTCAGGGGTAGCTGTGTTGGCCATTTAGCAAATCTAAACAAAAATTCATCACTGATACCTTTATTGGCCAATCAAAATGCACAATATACTTGTTGCAAGCTTTCAAAGACCATGGAGCTTCGAAAGCTTGCAACAAGTATATTGTGCATTTTGGTTGGTCAATAAAGGTATCACTGATGGATTTTTGTTTGAACCTTCTATTTATGTTATGTTCATCTACAGTCAATATGCCCAACCCTCATGCTGGGTTAGTACTAATGGAAATTGGGCGGGTATTCTGTAAGTAGCATATGCAGGTTAAGTCAACCTTACAAATATGTATGTCACTTTTGGGTTAATGTGGAGGCTGGCATTCTCATCCTCCCTCTGCAATTAAGAAAGCTCCCCTAGACCTACTATA